GTGAGCAGAGGAGGAGAGAAACGTGCACAGGAGGAGGAACCATGGTCCACCCCATCACTGGGTGAGAGGGGCGGCTTCCTCAGGCATTATCACCATTCTCACACCTGGGTAGTTTCTTGGGGTCCTTGACCTGGAGGAGCTGGTGACTGCTAGACTCCTCGGTGACCCGAGCCAGCCATTCAGCATCAGGAAGACTTAAGAGAGTTAGAGACACCACTCCCTCATTCAGACGTGTGCACCCAAAGGTCAACTCATCAGCTTCAAGCCCATTTCTGAAATGCCTCCAGTGTTAACTGAGTATCACCCTGGGTCCACCAACATCTAGGATGCTCTGAAATACAGCTTGAAGGAAAGAACTTAGGAAGAGTCTTTGAAGTGGAGGGGCCAGGAGGATCCTGTCTGAGTATAGCAGAGAGCTGGGCACACCCAGCCATGGGCAGAAGTCCAGAAAGAGCCTAAAGTGGCTGCTCTGGGAGCCTGGCGCACCGGGCTCAGGCCAGACTGCAGGCAGGCACATCCCGCTGACTCAGGCATCCTGGGGAGGCAGGGACACACCCAGGTTTGGGGAAAACTGACGTTCTTTCCAGGCTGGGTCTGCCCTTCCTGAATAAGCTATTTGCATTTGCTGCAAAATGCCTGAAACAGCAGCTCAGCTCAGCCTCACAGTGGGAGGGGGAAGGACTGGGAAAGCTTGTTCAGGCAAGAAGAAACCCAGCAGCTGTCTCCACACCCACAGCTCTTCTGTCCAAGGACGTCAAGGCCCTGATTAAAGCTCTGGGCTGCTGAGGCGGCAGGCTGCTGCTGGCAGGAGTTGCCAGGGGGTGACAGCAGCTGGACCCAGCCAGGCACAGGCTGAAAAATGGTCCTGGCCACAAACCCCAGTGCTTGCTCAACCAAGGCACTGCCCCACACACACTTGCAAGTGCTGGTTAAAACAACAAAACCCTGCTGCCATGGAGTTGATTCTGATACACCATAACCCTATGGGGCAGGGTCAAACTGCCCCATAGGTTTCTAAGGCTGTAAATCTTTACCAGAGCAGACTCATCTTTTTCCCATGGAACGGCTGGTGGGTTCCAACCTCTGGCATTTTGGTTAGCAGCTGACTGACTTAACACTACACCACCAGAGCTCCCTATGCACGGGTTACTTCCCTAAAACCACAGGAGCCTCTAAGACTACAGAAAAGTGAGGCGAGGGATTTGGGAATCTGCACGGCCCTAATGAGATGCCCAGGCCCCTCCTCCAGGGACACCAGCTGCAAGCAGTCTTGGAGGGTTGGATGGAGGGGTGGCACCAGTGAGCTGTCACTAGTTGAGTTTTCCCTGACAATCTGATGAAGAGGGGCTGATTTTGCACACTTCCTGGAGTGGTCTCCAGTCCCAGGGTCCCTCCTGCACCAGGCTGGATCTAGCTTGGGGACTTGGAGGCAGGACAGGGCATGCTTGTCACAAACCATGAGCCCTGAAAGAGACTTTTTATTGTTGTCACAGCCCTTAGGAGCACCAATCCTTTCAGGTATGTCACTCACCCTGTCACAGCAATCATTTCGGGTGAGGTCACTGAGCAGGCCCCACTTCCCAAAGCCAGAAAATGGGCACAGTGGGTAGGACTCTTAGTTGGGGGCCTTTTAGCCTGAGTGGACCCAGACCATCTTCAATACTACTTCTCTGTGAAAGCAACCTCCTCCCTCCAGGGGAAGTCACACTCTCACCACCAGTGTTACACTAGGAGCTCTGGTAGCATAGTGCCTAAGGCACTTGACTGCTCACCAGAAGGCTGGCGGTTCAAACCCACCAGCCACTCCTAGGAAGGAAGGTTGGGCAATCCTACTTCCACAGTGGTACTGCCTCGGAAACCCAAGGAGGGGTCGCTATGAGTCGGGGCCGACTCGACGGCAAACAACAACAACAACAGTGTTACACTGGGAATGCTGAGGCACCCAGACCCTGGAACATGAGGGATGCTTAGCAGGACTACCAAGCCTCTCCCAGTGTGACACACCCAGGATGAAGGGAAGACGCATAAGATGGAGGGTGTTGGGTGAGGGGCCCCCCGCTGGAACATCTTCAAGCGTTGGGCTCTGAGCAGGTCTGCAGCCATTGCCAGCTCAGCCTGCTGCTAGCTCCCCGATACCCATGCTGCCTTCAGGACACTGGCCTTGGAGTTGTTCAGCAGAGGTTCAACCCTGCTTCTCTTCCCCAAACAGGGCAATGGGCAAACACCAAGCCCTTGACCTCCTCCTTCCCATCTCCAGCCTCATACCAGCTGGCACCTGGCAAGTCAAAGGGGTACCTTAGAGCTGAGAATAAGAGACAAGGAGAGGGCCCTCTCCCTTTAATGCGATACATTGCCCACATATAGGTATGTCCTGGATCTTCTCTGCACCTGCAGAGAGGGCTTTTAACTGGCAAGGGGGCCCAGGGGCATATATTAGGTGGTTTATCTGAGATCAGGGAGGAAGGTTCCTGAAGAAATAAGGACTAGCATTAACCCAGGTGTCCAGGTTTGCCTTTTGTGAGGATATCTTGTTCTTCTGCTTGGCCTCACATGCACTTACCTGCACAGACTGCCTTTTTATTAGAACATGTGCTAATATGGTAAGGGAGGCAATTGAATTGGTTGCACAATGATGTGCTTGAGGAAAAGGCAAATGGACCCACGGAATGGCAGCTCCAGTCACTGTGTGTACACACACGTGTACATGCACACACGGAAGGGGAGGGCTGTGCATGTGGGGCCTGCCTTGTGTGCAGCTGCCTGGACTGTGGCTTGGGTGCCTGGTCTACTCCCATTGATTCCCCCAAGCAGGAAGCCAGCATGCACTAGTGATGGTTTTTACATGAAGCAACACCACATGTATCTAGTCTATGGGGTACCGACACCAGACCACACACATGGGAGCAGCAGGAGAGCTACCCGTAGCCCAGGCCTGTCCCAGAGAGAAGGCACAGCTGGGAGAGGCCTGCGGTTTCTGTAAAGGAGCAGTGACAGGCAGGCTGGAGAGTTAGCAGCTGGCTTTGTGAGGAGGCTGCCAAGCTCCACTGGGCACCTGTGACCTTCGTGGGCCCCAGCCTCCTCTCTTTCTCATATCAATGACAGATCGGTATCAGGCTCTCCCTTGGAGTTTTGTGGATTTTCAGGAAAACTCAACAAAGGGCTGGGAAGGAGAAGCAGCAGGAAATCTGTTTCCAAGAGGCCTCAGGCCTGTTGTCGATTTGATTCGCCATGTGGTTTCTTTCTGGTACCGGGCACAGGCCAGTTTTCCCATCTTGTCGAGTGGGGGGCTCTCTGGGAAGGGCCTCCAGTGTGGGTTCACACCCTTCTTTGCCCAGAGAGACATTCAAGTCCAAGCAGGTTTTATTTCCCCCAACCCAGTGACATTCAGGCAGCTCTGATGCACATGTAGTTACATTTGCACGGACATACTCGACACAAAGAATGGATGGAGTTGCTCAGGTCACCTTCAAAAGGATCTGCAGACCCAGGACACCATTGCACGCAGACACACACGGAGCACAGCAGAAGCCAGGCAGTGGCAGGGGGCAAGGAGTCTCTGGGGGCAGCCTGGCCTGGTGTGCCAGCCCCCAGGGTTCACGTTCCTTCCAGTGGGGACTGTTGCTGGGAAAAAAGGGGCCAGGGCGCAGTCCACCACAGACAGGGAGGCATGACCCCCACGTGCAATCATGGGAGCTTCAGCAGGAACATCTGGGAGAGACTCTCCGGCAGGAGCCCAGCAGTGCCCTCTGCTGGGCCTGATGGGCTGGTGCAGCTCAGACAGGGAGGCCTCTCACTAGTATGTGTGCACTTTTCAGAGAGCTAGGGAAGGCTGAAGTCTGAGCCTGACCCTACATGTACGTGTATTTTCTAGGGTGGTTGGGGTACCAGCTATTTCCATTTAAAACACCAGCTTCCCTAAACTCCCATTCACAGGTCCAGGCAAGCTCATTCTGGCCCTCGGAGCAGGGGTGGAGCGGGGTGGGGTGGTGTTCGAGAGGGACCAGCTGCTCCCTTTCCCTGAAGAGCTCCAGAGCTGCATGCAGCAGGGGGCACATGCAGTAGCGATGCCAGGCCAGGCACTTGCTGAATTCTTGCTTTCTTCTCAGGCAGCCCCTCCCCAGGGCATCCCCCCCTCCCCAGAGTGGGTTACAGCCTCCTAGGCTCTCTGCACAAACCCCACAGGGGCTCTAGGCTGTTGAATCCCACTCCTTCCCTCCTCCTGGGGTCTCCTCTTGACCTAAGGAATCTACTCTAGGCAAAGTCTGGGGCACATGCCCTAGGTCTTTGGACAGCTGGTGTCTCTTGGATCCCTTCTACCTCTCCCCTTAGGCAGGACTCTGACACACCCTCCTTTCCTACAAATTGGGGGACTGGTCCTCACAACCTAGAAGACCCCTGGCTCTTCCTCACACCTGCAGGGCTCCTTCAAGTCTGTTCTTGCCTCAGAACCAGTTTCACTGTCCACATCCACTGACCTACAGGCATCAAGCCTGGATGGTGAGAACAGGGAGAGGGCTTTGCATGGGAGGGAGGGATCTGCTAGACACTTCACTGCCTGCAGTGCCCTTGATGAGGCAGGCTGGACCAGACAAGCTGCTTGTATGTATCTGAGTGACTGTATGTGTGTATGTGAGTGTGTGTGAGAGACAGAGACAAAGTGTGTGTGTGTGTGTATGTGTGTGCGCATGCGGAGAGGGTTGTGTTAGATGGAGTTAGAAGCAAAATGCGGAACAGGATAGTGTATAAAAATGAATAATCCTTGTGTAAACTATTTCCCCTGATGTAGATGATGATGTATTTATCCAATAAAATTTATTAGACTAGATAAAACCAAACTAAGAGTCATGTCAGTGGGCTGGCATGTCAGTTTCTTCCGGGTTGAAGGCTGGAGAGGAATTATTCTAAGAATTAAGAAAACCTGAGCCTGGCGGGGGTGAGGCCGGATGGGGGGTGGCGCGGCATGCACCGTGCACCGTCCTCGCCATCTACCCTGGCTGAGCCTAGTAGGGATGAGCAGGCTCTGGCAGCAGTGACTCCCAGGAACTAGACAAACGGGAGAGGAAACTGACCGGGGATGTTCTCTCGGTGGCTGCTTGATGGGAAACTCCGGGAGCCTCCCCAGCTGTCTCGCCTTCCTCCTCCTGAGCCCTGAGGAACACACAGCCTTTCTTTAAAAACAAGCATGCTCTGACGCCAGCACCTACCTCCAATGCCTGGTTTCCCACCCTCACCCACAGGGAACATGCTCCAAATATCTCCATGTCCAGGCTTCCCAGCAGCCTGGAAGATGCTTCACAAGAAGCCCCAGCAGCTGCATCAGAAATTAATGCAAAAACTTCAGAAATGGACAAGGTTCCTGCAAAGCCGCCTCCAGGGCATGTTAAGGTGGTTCTCCTGAGGGAGGGGGAGGCTTGGAGGGAGCTTGATTCTGCTGCAGCCACTGCTTTCTCCTTTGTTCCCACACCAGGTCTCCCCTCCTGAGATTTGGGGAAAATAAACTCCTCTCTGACTTCAAGCTCCAGACACTATGGATTTCTCTCAGGTGTGAGCAGTCAAATAAGTGTTGTTAAAGCATCAGGGGCCCTGTTTCTTATTAAAATACCTGATGCCTCCTCCCTACCTATCCCCCTTCCCAGAGTGCTCCTGGCTCCGCAGACACAAAACAGAAGCCACTGCTGGCCCAGGCCACACTTACCCAGTCTCCTCAGTGATTGTCTCTGGGGGCTGGCGTTCCTTTAGTTCAAGCTGGGGGGAGAAAAAGGCTAAGGATCAGAGCAGCCACAGGGAGGAGCCGTGTGCTCAGACAACCCTTTTCAAAGATGGCTCCCTGCACCCCAACACACTTTGTGTTTGTTCCCTTGTGTCTTTTGCAAAGGTCAGTATCCTCTATCACTATTTCAACCCTCTCCACTTGCCAAGCCTTATACAAGGTCTGTAGATGCCTAATAATCCGGTAACAGTTCTTGATTTGAGGTCCCCCTCCCACAAGGCATGGCTGCTGGAATGGCTATCCTGCTCACCGTGGTGGGCTTCTCCAGGGCAGCGAAGCGCTCTGCCCAGCTGGCTGTGGATTTCTCAAACGCCTCATGCCTCTTGATGAGCTTCTCCACACTGTCCACTGTGTGGCCAAAGTCCTGACTGGCCAGGTAGGGCTCCTGGGCTATCAGCCACGCTTCAGCCACGGAAGCATCCCGAGAGAACTGGCACACCTCCAGCACTGCCATGGAGAACAAGCCCCAGACCCACCCGGAAGGCCCAGGGGCCAGTTAGCACTCAACATTAGCTCCTACTGGGAGCTCAGGGGCGGCTCTGCAGCAGTGTTACCGTCAGGTCCAAAGCCTGCACAGGTGGCCCTAAAGCAAGTACACTCCCTGATCAGAGAGGACCTGCAGCCAAGGCCACTCCATCAGGGCCCTCTGAGTATGTTCGTCCCAACCTTTGGCTGTCTGCCATAATTGAGTACAAGCAGCCACGGCACCAGTCCAGGCCCTCCAGGCTCACACCTCCTACTGAGTGGTGGGATTTTCTCCACCTCTCTTCAGCAAAGTGAAGTGCCTAACATTGACTGCTAACTAGAAGGTTGGCAGTTCAAACCCACCAGCTGCTCTGTGAAAGGAAGATGGGGTGATCTACTTCCATAAAGATTTACTGATTTGAAAACCCAACAGGGGTCTCTATGAGTTGGAATTGACTCCAGGGCAGTGAATGAGTTCTTCACCTTCTAGCTGCAAGACTACGATGGAGTTCCTTCTGGTGCCTGACACTCCTCAGATCCAACATCTGGGATCTGGGGTGTACTACAGCCTTACCCTTACCCCTCCCCAGGCCACAGGTCTGCAGGGAAACTAGTCCAGGCAGTGGGGGGCAGGGGCAGGGAGCAGTACATGCTGGCTGGGTGGAGGTGGGCTTCCAGCAGCGCATTGTGGTCTTCTGCATAGACACCAGAGGTCCCTGCCCCAGAGTTTGTGAGGAATGGGGCTGTAGGGGCCCTTCTCCAGGCGGTGGTGAAAACCCACAGCAGCTTCCCTGCCCTGGCCCCCCCCCAGTTCCCTGGTCCAGGCCCCACTCACACATGCTGAGTCGCTGCCAACGAGCCTCCCACTTCTCATTCATCTCCTTTCGCCTGGACACCACCTGCCGCAGTTTCTCACTGATCTGTAAGGAGGGAGACAATCTGAGGCAGTGTGTATGTTGAGGGGTACTGACAAGAATGCTGGACTTGTTCACACAGGTCTGGTTTAAGTCTTGGTCTTGCCACTTGACAGCTGTGCAGCCTTGGGCAAGCTACTTAACTTCTCTGAGCCACATGTACTCCTCCTATGAAATGAGGGTTGCCAAGCCCAAAGCATACACACAAGTTAGGAAGCCACCCTCCCTACTAGGCAGCGAGCTCCCTGAGGCAGGGACTGGGCTTAGCATGGCTTTAACGCCTTTGCCTCATGCTCCGTAAGTGGAAGAAAGACAAATCCCCTCAGAGATACCACGTCCCACAGCTCCCTCCCAAGAAGCTGCCTGGCCCTCCACCAGCAAATAGAGAGGGGCTCTGTCTCAGTCCTCTCACCTCATCGGAGGCCTGGTGTTGCCGCTGTAGCAGGGACTCGCCGAGCTCCAGGCAGGCACTGAAGTTCTTGCTCCGGGTTTCAATCTCCGCCCTGATGCCCTGGTGGTACTTCATGAGCAGTTCCACAGAGGAGACATCCCTGGAAGGACAGAAGAATGAGGGCAAGGAGGGGGTTGGGGAAGAATAAAACTCTAGGCCAAAGTCATTTTGGCTTGTCTGATGAGAGGGGCTGCTGGCCAACCCCCACCTGGGCCACCTCACACCTCCTGCCTCTGGGAGTCTGGCTAGCCAGACTCTGTCCTCTCTTGCTAGCCAGAAAATCCTGTCACCTAGCCCCAGCAGGTGTCTTCCACTGTTCAGGGGGATACGAGGTCCCCAAAAGAAATCTGGGGATATTATCTGGACATAGAAAGGAATGAAGTTTTGGTACATGCTACAACACGGATGAACCCTGAAAATATGATGCTAAGTGAACCAGACACAAGATGCTACATGTTGTATGATTCCATTTCTATGAAATGTCCAGAGCAGGCAAAACCATAGACAGAAAGACTGGTTACCAGGGGCTGGAGGGAGGCAGGAATGAGTTCTGTTGACAGGTATGTGGAGTTTCTGTTTGGGGAGATGAAACTCTTTGAAACTTCAGTTGTGATGATGGTTGCCCAAGTCTGTGAATATACTAAAAACCACTGAATGGTATACTTTAAACGGCTGGATTATATAGTGTGTGAATTACATCTCAATAAAGACTTTTTTTTTTCAAATAGAAGCAAGACTAACCAGTTGCCATCAAGGTGATTCTGACTCATGACAACTCCATGTGTATCAGAGTAGAGCTATGCTCCATTAAAAAAAGAAGAAGAAGAAGAAGAAGAAGAAGAAACAAACCCATGCTGTTAAGTTAATTCCAACTCTTCGTAACCCCTCCTTGGGTCTCCAAGGTAGCTAAGGAAGGAGATTGCCCGGTCTTCCTTCAGAGGAGTAGCTGATGGGTTGGAACTGCCAGCCTTCTGGTTAGCAGTCAAATGCCTTAGGCACTATGCCACCAGAGCTCCTATGCTCCATAAGACATTTTAAAAATGTCTGGCCATCAGGATAGGCCACGCTCGGACAGAGGGTTGGAGATGGACTGGCAACAATTGCTAAAATGATACAGACTGAATTGGGAACCACAGTGGAGAAAGCTGGGATAACTGTTGGGTTTCTCACTGCCCATGTGACTGACTCCAGCTCCATGGGCAATGAATCTTCTTCCTGAGTTTTAGGGGAATGGTCCCCTGACACCTTAGCACTAAGGGAGGGGTGGACAGTCTTGGATCTGCCAGGTTTAGATGTGTGAATCACCTAGTGTCACTGATAACAGTGGTCACCACCCTCTTTGTACAATCTGAGTGACAGATGTCCTTCTTGTCACACTCAGGACTTCTCTGACCCTGAAATGGCCAATCCTCCCAGTAGAAGTCTGGAAGAAGTAATTTCCTGCCTGGACCCAGCCTCAGAAGCCCCCTGATGCTTCCCTTATACCCCACTGCCCAGGACTGTCCCTCCAGGGAGGTGCCCCACTATGGAGCCCTAGTCTGCCAGCCTCATTTTGGGACAATGTGGCCAATGAGAGGAGCTGCCTGGAGAATGCTGCCTCACCTGGGCCTCTCCTGGGTCTCAATCTGCCGGATGATGCTCTCCATCCAGGAGAGGAGGTCACGGACCATGCTGAAAAAGCGGAATTTGTCGGCTGTGTCCACCAGCTGGGTCCGGCGCCCAGCACAGGCATCGAGCAGTGCCTGCCACGCGGCAGATACCTCCTGCTCCTTGTTCTGGATGTCATCAGCCTTCTCCCCAGCATACGCTGTCTGCAGGCGGGTGGCCACGTCCTGGAACTGCTGTACCTGTGGGTGGGCAAAGCTGGACATTATCCCTCGGACACAGACATCTCCCATCCTGGGATGGGCCAGGGCATCTGTCCCACTTGGCTGCCCTCCCCAGGACACAGATCTTCAGCCTCCCACCAGTGGCTGCTATGGGAGAGGGCAGGCTACTTGGTACCTCTGCTCACCCAAGGTGGTCTCTGAGCTTTGAGGAGAATTTGAGAGACAAGAGTCTATGCTCTTTGAAATCAGAAGGGATAATAACAAGAGTAACTATGGACCAGTGACCATTCTAAGCGTTTTATGTTTATTAACTCTTAATCTTTACAACAACTCCATGAGAGATACTATTATTATCTGTTTTTCAGATGAGGCACAGGAAGGTTCAATGCTTTGCCCAAGGCCACTTGCACTAATAAAGGGCTACAGCTGGGCTTGCCTATGCTTCTGAGTCTATGTTCTTGATCACTACGCATGCACCTCTCCAAGAAAGGGGCTGGCACCAAGGACAACAAAACCCTAGTCCTGAGCCAGCCTCCTGAGGTATAAGGCCTGTCTCAGGCACCACCCTCAGCCCACACCAAGTCTGCCACCTTCCATCCACCCAGGGTACAACAGCCACACACCAGAACCCACCTCTAGCTGGAGGACAGATTTCAGGATGTTCCCTTTCTAGGTAAACTGAGGCCCCAACCTACCTTGGTGGCTGATTCCTGAACCCTGGCTTACCTGTCCCTACTCCATGAAAGCCCAGTGAGCTCTGGGCAGCTAGGGCCTGTCGGTGGCATTTTCTAGCACACCGACCCGTGTGGATCCTTAGGGATTTGCAGAGGTGCCTTGGGGGCACCTTAGTGATGGGGGAGCAGGTCAAAGCAGTAGATCTTGGGGCCTTCTAGCTTTGATGTGGAAAGGCAAATAGCCTAACGATTAAGACATTAGACTCCATATAGCCAGATTGCCATGGTTTGACTCCTGTCTCTACCACTTTTCATCTGTGTGATCTCGGGGAACTTAATTTTCTCTGCCTCACTTTCCTCACCTATAAAGTGTAGATAGTACTATTAGTACCTAACTCAGAGGATGGCTGAGGCCTCAGTGACTACATATATTGTTCATGACAGCATCTGGCACCAGAAATGTTCTATTTATATGTTAGCAAGCTCTGGTAGCACAGTGCCTAAGGCACTTGACTGCTAACTGGAAGGCTGGTGGTTCAAACCCACCAGCCACTCCTCAGAAGGAAGGCTGGGCAATCTATTTCCGTAGTGATACTGCCTCAGAAACCCAAGGAGCGGTCGCTATGAGTTGGGTCTGACTCCATGGCACATAACAACAACTAGAGAAACTAAACTTTGATGTATTTTGTGCACTGGGTTTTTGTGAGGATTCTGTTTGAAGAACTCCTTCTGAACTAAAGAATGGCAGAAAATCCTGCTCTGCTCCCTGTTGTGCTGCCCTGAGCTAGTGTCTCTTGGAGGTGGTAGAATGCCCTGATGCCCACTCCAGAGGGGAAAGGCTGCAATGAGGTGAGGCCCCCAGGTGGTGGGGACTGGCTCCTGAGGTACAAGACCTGTCTCAGGAACCGACCCCACCTCACACCAAGAGCTGCCCCTTGGGAAGTTGGCTGTAGGGAAGCTGTGGTAGCAAGTGGCCTGGAGTCTGTGGGAAGTGGTGATAGGGACAGGCACCTGCACACCCAGCAGGTGGAGCTCCCGTTCGAAGGCAGTGTGCACCCGGTGGAAGGACTCTGCAGTGCTGGCATCCAGCCCCACTTCCTCAGGCAGCTCCCGGTGCTTCTCATCGATGAGGCCCAGGATCTCAGCGCCCGTGTAGAAGTAGCGGTGCAGGTCGTAGGAGGCGGCCAGCAGCTGCATGCGTGTGTCGATGAGTTCCAGCAGGTCCGCCCACATCTCATTCAGCCCGTCCTTCCACTCAGCAATGGTGGCCGCCTCACCGTGGCCTGTGTCGATGAGCCGTTCGATGATGGCATTCACGTTGTCCACCCGCTCCTGCCCGATCGCCCCAGTCTCCCGAGCGAAGTCCCGGAACTTGTCCCGGAGCAGCTGGACATAGGGTGGACAGAAATGTGGTCATCAGGGCCTAGGAGTGGGGCTGGGGTCATCCCACTGCAGACACTGCCAGGCAGCAGCCACAGCTGCCCTGCGTGCTCTCACACCCTCCTAGGGCAGGCCTGGAATGCAATGGTCATGTTCACACTGGGGTGTGACTGCATCTCTGTGCCACACTTTACCACTGGCAGGGGTGCTGTGTGTGTCTGGAACAACGGCTGGCTTGTACTGACTGCACTGAAAAAACCAAACCAGTTGCTGTCAAGTCAGTTCCAACTCATGGTGACCCAGGTGTTGCAGAGTAGAACTGCACCCCATAGGGTTTTCAAGGCTGTGACCTTCTCTGACATGTACTAACCTTTTGTTTAGTAGTTGAACACTTAACTGTTTGCACCACCCCGGATCCATCCACTGCATTGTTGTTGTTGTTATGTGCCGTCGAGTCAAACCCGACTCATAGCCCAACCTTCCTTCCGAGGAGTGGCTGGTGGGTTTGAACCGCCAGCCGTCTGGTTAGCAGGCAAGTGTCTGAGCCACTATGCTACCAGAGCTCCACTGCATTACAGGAAGAAAAATAAGGCTATAGCTGTGGCTACTCACAGTAACGTGGTCAAAGTCTTGCCCCATTTCTGGGGAAGATGCAACCAGATCCTTCTCCGCAATCCACTGCTCTAAGTCATCTGCTTCCCTCTTCAGCTGGAACAGGTGGTACATGTTCTCCAGCTTTCGCTTGCGTTCCTCTGCCATGTCCTTCAGCCCCGCATACTGTTTGTCCACTTGCCCCTGAAGTCTGATGATCTGTTCTCTGGAATTCAAACCAAGAAAAAGTCCTCAGCAATGGAACTGAGAACCCAAAGCAGACAGCTCACAGAGGCACCAGCACACTTGTCTCCCCAGCCTGTGGTAGGGACAGATGGAGACTGAAACACAGGAGAAATGAGAGTGACTTTCCTTGGAGAAGAGATGGGGAGAGAAGCCAGTGTTTCTCCTTTTACTCAAATTCATCTTAGACCATGGTGACTTGGGATAACAGAAATGTGTCCCTCCTGGAGCTGGGGCTCCTGCTTCTGTCCTCACACTAGGAAGCTCACAAAACCAAAACCAAGTGCCATCAAGCCAATTCCAACTCACAGCAACCCTATAGGGCAGAGCAGAACAACTCCATTGGGTTTCTAAGGCTGTAAATCTCTTCAGAAGCAGACTGCCTCATCTTTCTGCCACGAAGCAGTTGGTGGGTTTGAACCACCAACCTTTTGGTAAGCAACCAAATGTCTTAACCACTGCAACACATGAGCTTCTTGGGAAACTCATAGAAGCAAGTGCAAATGGTGAGCTGCTTTGTTATGCTTCCACAGAGGTTGATGGAGCAGTGCTGTCTAAGTGTGCGGCCCTGAAAGCAGAAGTCCTGCTTAGTGCTTCAGGGAAGTAGAAGCAGTGCTGGGGGCTTAGTCCTCATGGTTCCTGGGGAGACATTTAGGGTGGTTGTTGAGTACCTAAAGCCGTGGATGCCCTAATGGCATCCTCAGGGAGTCAGCCTGAGGAGTCTAGCTGGATGGGCTCCCATTCATGCAGAATTCAATCAACTGAAAAGTTTAGATGAGTATGTTTTCCACCTTAGAATGAATTCCACCATATAATGATTTTGCTGAGACAGTATGAGTCCCAAAGTACCTTCTAGACCATAAAAAGGGAAGCAAAATTAGTTTCCAGTGTCTCTTAGCATATTCTAACTCTTCAAGAAATTGGTGTTCTCACTTAACTAAGAGTTTTGCTATCTCATTCTCTGCTCTTATCGCAAACCAGGCCTTAGTCCACCCAGCCTGAAATTAACCAAGGCATAAAATGCAGTCATGCCAATCAACAGTCCAGAAAGCAGTTTTCTCAAACTACCCCTCTTTTTTTTTTTTTTTTTTTTTTTTTTTTTTTTTTTTTCTCTTTTTTTTTTTTTTATTTTTTTTTTTTTTTTTTTTTTTTTTTTTTTGAAAATAGTTCCTATTTTCCCCACTTTGACTTAAATGGATATTGGTTGGTGGGTAGGAGCCCCCAGCCTGACACTTATGACCTGGGCCAGATCTCCTCAGGAGGCTGCACGTACCCTTCAGGGTGGCCTGCAGACAGCAGGCTCTGGGCCCGACTGGCCAGCTGCTTGATGTTCCTCCCATACTCCTCCACTGAGCGCTGCTGCCGCAAATGCCGCTTGAGCATCACAATGGCGCCCTCTTCATCCTGGGAGGTGGCAGACATGTCAGTGGGTGCAAGCTCAGGCTGGCCTCGGCTCCCTCCTGGAGAGAGTTACGGTCCAGCTCCTGGAGGTGCCCAAGGTGGGGAGGAAAGCCAGGCTTGGGGGTCCCATGGGAGATTCATATGTACCCTTCCTGCCTCTTCCCTTCTTTCCCAGCAATGCCAGTAACCCACCTTCCTCTCTCAACATCCCCAAATCCCATCTGATGTGCACCCTTCCTTGCAGGCCCAGCTCCAACTCTCCTTCCTGCCCTATCCTCAACAGTATACCAGTACAGACTCC